CCCAGTGTGCTGCAATGGCCCGTCATGTAGCGAGGGCTATTTTTGCCACTAGTTTATTCTGTGCCCTATGTAGTGCATCTAGGGGTTTGGACAGCAACCATATCCACGGATCCAGTGGGAGAGCCGTTTGTAAGACTCTGGAGGCGACGTCAGCTACCCCCTTCCACAATGCTGAAATACGCTCGCATTCCCACCACATGTGGAAGTACGTACCCTGGGCCCCACAACCTTTCCAGCACCGGTCGGAGGTCGATTGTCGCATATGTTTGAGCTTGAGGGGGGTAACATACCATCTGAGCAGGGTCTTATACGCCTGCTCCTTGTGGTTCACACAGATCGTAACTGATGCCGTTGCCTCCCAAATTTCTGCCCAGTCTGATGGATCGGCCGGTGGGCCCATGTCCCTCTCCCACTCCCTCACGTATGAAAAGGCCTCCGGAGGGGTGTTTCTAGCAAAGATATCGTAAAGAATGGATATCTGACCTCTCCTTACCGGTGTGTGCATACTCATTTTCTCGAAAGGTGTAAGCTGTTTTGTGGCTGCCATTCTGATGTCCGGAATGGACAAAAAGCTCCGTAACTGGAGATAGCGGAAATAATCAAAAGAGTTGAGAGGGGTAGATTGCGGTAGGTCTGCAAATAGGAGCAGGCGATCACCCTGGAAGAAATGGCAAAGTCTGATGAGGTTATTATCTTCGAAGCGGGCAAAATGTTGAGGTGTCATACCTGGGGGAAATTGCGGGTTCCGCAGAACTGGGGTGAGCGGTGAGGGCGTATTGATAAGGGAGTTTTTACCGTTGACTCTATCCCACACCTGCAAAGACGTCCGCAGGGCCGGCGTGGTGTGGGGTAACTCCGATCGGTGAGGTTTCGGCACCCAAAAATATAACGATGGGTGGTCTCTCCCAAAGAGGTCATGTTCCAGATCGACCCAGATCTTGATCCCCACCGGTGCGTGAAGCATCAGGACTTGCGCTAACTGGGCAGCCTGGTGGTAATCCCACAGATTTGGTAAGCCTAGGCCCCCCCTCCTGTGTGGGATATAAAGAGTGGTTCTTTTGATCCGGATCCTCTTCCCCCCCCAAATAAACCTATCTATCTGTGTTTGCAAAGCTTTAAAATCGATACTTGATGCAATCCGGCCGGAAGTGGAACGGATACCGGGCCCGCAAGGTTCCCTCCAAAGCTTGCGGGAGCTGGATCCCCAGCGCCTCTGTCTTTTCTAGATTCAGTTTATATCCCGAAATCTCAGCGTACTCTGCCATGAGGTCCAGCAGAGGGGGCAGGGATGCCTCCGGGTCCGTCAGGGTCAATAACAGATCATCGGCATAAGCCGCGACCTTGGACTCTTCTTTGCGTATCCGAATACCCTTTATGGCCGGGTTAAGCCTAATCTGTTGGAGAAGAGGCTCAAGGGAGAGGGCGAACAGTAGAGGGGACAGAGGGCATCCCTGCCGCGTACCGTTGTGTATGGCAAAGGAGGGTGGCGAGGTGTTCGGTAGCAATACTCGCGCGGTCGGGTGGGAGTACAAATTACGAATCGTCGTCAAGAACCGGTCGGGAAATCCAAATTTTGCTAGCGTTGCAAATAGGTAGGGCCATAAAATGCGGTCAAACGCCTTTTCGGCGTCCAGGGAAAGCCGTAACGTGGGGGACCCTTTACGTGTGGCTGCCCAGATCAGGTCATATGTACGTCTGGTATTGTCACTGGCCTGTCTATGTTGGATGAAACCCACCTGGTCTGGGTGGATCAACCTCGGAAGGTGGGGTTGTAGCCGATTTGCGAGAAGCTTAGTGAATAGTTTGATATCCACATTGAGAAGCGAAATGTGCCGAAAATGTCCCGGGCTCTGGTGGGCCTGATTCGGTTTTGGTATCAGACTTATATTTGCCTGCAACAAGTCTGGGGGCAGGGCTTCCCCCCTCCCAATTGAGGTGAACAGATCCTTAAGGTGCGGGAGGAGGTCTGCCGAGAACGTTTTATAGTATAAGCCCGAAAACCCATCCGGGCCCGGGCATTTATTGGGGCGTAGGGACTTAAGCGTCTCTGCTATCTCCTCTATGGAAACGGGGGCGTCAAGCGCCTCTCTGGCAGTAGCCGTGAGCTGTGGGAGGGGTATATCACTCAAAAAGCGTGCCGCGGTTAGTTCAGAGGCATGGGGGTCCTGTCCAGTCCTAGGGCTATGGTCATAGAGGTGAGCATAAAACCGATTGAATATCTCCGCTATCTGAGTTGGGTCGTCATGTTGGTGTCCGTCCGGGGCCCTAATCGAGGCTATACGTTTGCGTAACGATTTACGCCGCAGACAGTGCGCCAACAGAGAATCCGCTTTATTGGATTTCTCATAGAACAATTGTTTGGTCCATAGGAGCGCTTTCTTTGAGTCCCGGGCCATGAATGCTTGTATGGCTTGTCTATGGGTCTGGAGCTGAGTAGTGAGGTCCGGGGTGGGAGTAAGTTTATGTAAGTGTTCTAAGCGTCTAAGCTCGGAAAGGTGAAATGACAACTGCGTCAGCTTCCGTTTTTTGTGTGCTGTCCCCTCCGCAATTAGCGTGCCTCGGATTACCGCCTTATGGGCCGCCCACAACGTGCCATCCGAGTCTACTGACCCTTTATTGGTGGCGAAGAAGGACTGTATGGATTGCCGGACACTATCTTGTATGTGGGGAACATGGAGGAGTGTGGGGTTTAACCTCCAGTGCCACTGTCTGCTCGCCTGGGGAAGTTGGACCGAAAGGGTGATATCTGCATGATCCGACCATGTGATCTGCCCGATGGAGGTTTTGTGTACCAGCGGGATTAGGGACGGGGATGTCAGGAACATATCTATTCGTGAGTACGAGTTGTGGGGGTGAGAAAAAAAAGTGAAATCTACTGTGAGGGGGTGTTGCAGTCGCCAGACGTCTACCAACCCCGATCTCGCCAGGAAGGACTGCAGGAGTTTATCTGATTTCGCCACCAGTGGGTGGAGAGAGTCCCTCTGGGCTTGTTTCTTCCTGTCTTGATCTGGGGCCGAGACCGCATTAAAGTCCCCACCCAGGATAATGTGGTGAGATGGGAAGAGGTTCAGGTGAGCCTGTAGGGTTTCCCAGAACTGAGTTGATGGGGTCGTGGGGGCATAAACCGACGTGATGGCGTATTTATGTGAGCCCAGGTGACCCGCTAATGTCAGATATCTCCCAAGGGGGTCTGCAACTGTGTTCGTCAAGTGAATGGGGCATGACCCACGGATTAGAACAGCAACCCCATTTTGCTTGCCCAAGGGCGAGTTCGCTAAGTGGTATTCTGTGAAGTGTCGATTGCGTAAGGGGAACGCCCTGGATTGCTCGAAATGAGTCTCCTGGAGGAGGACGACATCTGCCCCGGTCCTGCTGGCCCACCGAAGGACCCGATGCCGCTTAGCTGGGTTATTCAAACCCTTACAGTTTATTGAGACACAGTTAAGTCGAAGCGGGGCCCTCTCTGCAGCAGGTCCCCGATTGTTCGGATTGTCCCGGACCCCCGGGGGCATGACGCAAACCAGCCGGCAAGCGAGGGGGGGATGAACCAATGCCACCCGCCTGGGTCAGTAGAAGGGGGGAGAGGCGAGCTAGGGAGAAAAAATAAAAATAAAAAAAAGGGTGGGGAATAAGGAGAGGCCTGGGCTTAACAGAGGAATGCCAGGCCACAGAGGCGGAAGGGCCTAGTGGGGATATGTGGTGTGTAACTGCCCCGAGTTGGGGTCTCGAAGAATGTGAGTGTGGGGGGAAAGATGTACCGCTACCGTCGGCCTCTTCCCCCCTGTAAGGTGCCTACTGGAAGTGCCTGGCACGAGTTTATATGGTATGGAGAACATTTGGTAACGCTATCTATTGCAGTATGTAGTGCTGCGTGTCCAAGACCGGCACCCTAGGTGCCGGGTAATCCAAGGAAGGTCACCCTAAAGCTGTCAGGAGTTCTATGCTGCGCTTCGTCAGTCTCAAACTGTGTGCCTCTTCTAGGATCTTTTCAGAAAGGCCTGTTTTCCCTGCGTGCGCACTAGGGCCAAGTCCAGTGGGTCTTGGGGGATGTTCCCGTCTTCCCGTGGGGGACCTCTACCGTACCCGGCCAGTCGGCTACATGACCCGTCCATCCCTCCCTTCCCCCCCTTCCAGCCCCCCCCGTAGTCCAACATCCTGCTATCCCCGTAGTTGACTCCCCCCCCCAGAGTTCACTCTTCTTTTGCCATGCAGAGAAGTTCATTTGCAAGAGTCCGTGAGTCCACTTTTCCCACCCTCCCCCTCCTCTTCCTCCCCCTCTTACATTCTGTTCCTTTCCTTCCCGTATCTGTTTTCCCCCCTTCTGTCTGTTCGTGAATGTGAAGACCCCTATGCACTCCCGTGTCCCCCTATGTGTCCCCGTCTTGGGATCTGCTCATGCCTGTCTCATAGGTCGGTTCCCCTCAATCCCGATGGTGCTCCCAACCCCCTAGGTTCTGTCTCTGTGTGATGTCCATCCCGTACCCTCCCATTCCGTTACTCCTATGGTGTGTGTGGTGGGATGAGAAGAGTGCCCCGCGTATCCTACCCATGTGGTTATAGTTTGAAGCTGCCCCCCTACCCCCCCCCAAACACTAAACAATGTACTCTAACCTCTCCTCCCTCCAGGACTCCCCCGTCGCTGCAACCCTCTCCTAGCCTATCTCTCTATTCCTTCCGTTATTGCGCCCACTGAGCATGGTTTCTAGGCTTTCTTCTCTCACCCGCAGTCTGCCGGCCGTACCCCTCTTATCCCGCCCGAGGCCCCCCTGACAGGCCCCCTCTCCACTCCTCTGAAAGGTAAGTCCCCCTATCCCTACCAGCCCCCGTGCCCTTCACCTGGCCGTCTACCTAGTGCTCCTGTTACCTATAACCCACCCTACCCCCCATCCCCCCCCAACCCTCCCCAGGTGCTCACAGTTTGTACAGGTTGATCAAAAGAGCAGCAGAGTCCCAACGTGTCGCGCCGACTGCGCGACCCTCCAGGGTGAAACTCCCTCCTTCTAATTCTGCATTTGCCGTGGTTGTCTTCTGGGGCTCCGCTCCACCTCCGACATCCTCTTCCTCGGTGTGCGTCGCGGCCCGTTGTCTGCTCCGTCTGCCGCGGATCCCGGTCCTCTCCCCATTCCCGCCATCCTCTGCACGGGTGGTGGTAAAAGCTCTAGACCCAGGGAAGCCGCGAAGGGGGCCATCTCCGAAGCGCTGCTCAATATGAAGGTCTGATCATCTTTACGGACCACCGACTTGAACGGATGACCCCACATGTATTTAATGCCATAATGGGCAAGTGTGGTTGTGAGTTGCCGGAGGTCTCTCCTCTTCTTAAGGGTTGAGGGTGCCAAGTCGTGAAAGAAGGCCAGATTTCGGTTCCGGTAGGATGGCGGATGTTGCCGCGCTTTTTGCAAGAGCTGTTCCTTTATAGGGAACCGGTGCATGTGGGCGATGACGTCTCTCGGGGTATCCGGATTCAAGGTTGGTGCTCTGAGGGCCCGGTGCACTCGGTCCATTGCCAGGTCCCCCTCCGATGCCTCAGGTAGCAGGGAGCCGAAAAGGTCGGTGATGGTGCTGTGTAGGGCTTCGTGTGTCACCGTCTCTGGGAGCCCCCGGACCCGAATATTGTTGCGCCGTGAACGGTTATTCAGATCCTCCAGCTCCTCCTCCAGAGTCGCGATTTTACCGTGCAGGTAAGTGAGATCTTGGGAGTGAGAGCTGGAGGTCTCCGCTAGGACTGTCAGACGGGTCTCCGCCTGATGAGTGCGGCGGGACAGGGCCTCTATGTCGGTCTTCAAAGCACGGACGTGCCTCTCCAGCTCAGTCGCCGTGTGGGCTTTGATGTCCGCCGTGGCATCCAACAGGAGTGCCTGAAGGTCTCGCTTGGTCAGCGGATTGTCGTCTGGCTCAGGGGGTGAATCAGGGCCAGAGCCCTCCATGCTCCCGCGACAAGATGGCCGCCGGGGAGTATTTTGTGAGCTGAACAACGAGGCCACCGATGGATTGTTCTCCTTCTTTTTCTTGGGGCCACCCATGCCCAAGTGGTTCACTAGCGTCAGGCAAGTTGGGTGAGCCGTGTTGTGGGAAAAGGGGGTGCCTAAGGCCGCTGATGTTGGCGGATTCTATTACAGGGGAGAGAGAGCCACAGAGCTAAGCAGCCATCTCGTACCAAGGCCAGGCTCCACCCCCCAACAAACTTTTTTTAAAACTGTTTATTTTTGTTTTATTTTTTATTTTTTATTTTTTTTTTATATTTTTTTTTTAAACTTTTAAAAACTTTTCAGAACTTTTCTAAACTTTTTGTCTCTAACTAGCCTAACACTCAATTTCCCAAATTCCCACTAAAGTCCACCTACTCCAGCTAACTAAGGAATTAACGTTAAATTAATTAAATAAATTAAATAAAATTAACCCCTAAGGGTTAAAAAAAATCAAAATTAACCCTTGAGGGTACAAAAAAAATTAGATCACAGTTAAATACTGTGATCAGTATACTGATCACTGCAGGCAGTGATCAAAAGGGCAAGGAAAGGGTTAACACTGTTTTAAAAGTAAAAAGAGATACACTTTAAGCTACAACGGCACACAATGTTGCAGCACCGATCCGTCTCTCTCCACTTCTCAAACCACACAGAGGTGGAGGGAGGAGGATCAGGAATCCCAGCAGCACTGTGATCGCTGTGACATCACATGTGCTGGGACAGCTCTATTGGCGGTTGCTAGTCTGCCTCTGACATCAAGGCACCCAGCAACAGCGTTAACCCCACAATCGCCGTGATCTGGCGTTAACGTTAGTAAATGACGGAGATTTTCCGTCAATGGTCCTTAACGCACGGACAAGCTTGACGGAAAATCTCCGTCTTCGGTCGGTAAGGGGTGAAATACTTTGGGAAAAACAAACTAATAACATTTGCTGATAAGATTAGATGAGAACCAATCAATGAATCATGCAGAATTTGTTGGCACTTTATAAAAAATAATGAACCACCAGAAAAGTGAAACAGTGTTACCCTTAATTAACCATACAAAATAGCACTAATTACTGCAAGAAGAAATTGCATTCTGTTCCATTTAATAATTAAAATTGTGACTTATTTGATGTTTATTGAAACCTGTGTACATTTGTTCAAGAATATTTTCTAAAGGAAAATACCTCTTTAAATCAGCTGAAATTTCTTTTCTGAACAAGTCAGTTTAGCTATGATGTTAGGTACTCCATTTAAACTTATATAATAATATATGAAGGGGTCACACACCCATGATGAAATAAACATGGACGTCACAAAACACACTCAACCCCCAAATACCACATAACATACCCCGCACTAACAGATACCGAACGGAAGAAGACCGGCCACACACACACAGACAACATTAAAGACAATACACCACACACCTAGACCGACGCACACACCCAGAAGCCCAACAAACTACATCAACAGGGATGGACGACACGATGCCCAGAAGGGCCATGATACAATTATATGGACCTATGAGCCCATCGCAGCAGATAGAACAATACTAACTGTGCTCAATGTTCTCACTATGTTTCACATTTATGGAGGCCTGCGAGCCTCGCTGTTGTAAAGGTTCCACTGTTATCTGTTTCTACTGTAAGGAAAACTGCAAGCAAAACGTAATGATATGAACTTTTTAATCATATACACATCCTCTCCCATGCATACCTCCAAATAAAAGCCACGATTACAATGTACAGTCACTTTAACTCTTTAAAAATATAAATACATTGATATTACACAACTGTACAATGCCACAATGGCAACACGGACCACCCTTAGCACTCCATTTAATTTAGCAACAACTCACATCTTAGTACACCAAGAGCTGAATGCCCAAACTCCCCACAAGCACGTTTATAGCCTGCACCATTTATATGCACCAAGGCAGACGACAAACGCCCATGACTGGGAACGTAGACGGGTCAACCGAAGTTATGCAATGTACTTGTTATGTTGCAATGGGTGCCCGTGAACTCCTTAGACCGGACCCCACTCGGAGCGTAGTCTACCGTATGACAACGATGTTGCCATCTTGCAAACACAAATGCCTTCAAATAGCAACAAACGATAATAGCAGTCAATCTGCATCCCAGGCACATAGCGCTCTGCCCTAAACACAAATAGACTGGCACTACGCTTATAATTCAACACGCACTGAGTAATGCCAGAATTAGCACGGTGATTCCCCAAAGCATTCACTTCCTAGTATCGACCTTATGGAGGATGCCCATACCCTAAGTTATACTACTGTTCAGAGCCACACAGCTTGTTCCTAATGTTTATTAACACATGCATCAATCAATAGTTGGATCTGCGCATCCAAATACTATTAAGAGATTTAGGAGACCTGCGAGTCTCACACGGCTAACTGTGATTGCACAAACAATGCTGATTAACTTTTAATAAAAAATATCTTTACAAAAAATATATTAAGGGGTCAATTTAGAGAGTCACTCTAAAACCTCTGCAATTTTTTAAAGCTACCATAATTAGTTTTTCATCTGATTTAATTCCACTGCTAGAAGTTGGCAGCCAACAGGTATTGTTAACATCGCAAAGTTAGGGTAACATACATTAAATCTAGCCAACTACAGAAGAGCAGAGTAACAAGTTCACTTGCATATAGAGTAAGAGAGAAATAATGTTTTCTGTTGTCTTTGTTTTGTGGTTCAACAACTTAATCATTACGCTCATTTTAGTATTTAGAGATGCTACACATGGATGTGGGCATGAAAGTGCTGACTGGCAGTATGTGAGATTCACATGCTCCCATACTCAATCAAGTTTAGATACTCATGGTCATGATTCAGGGCAGCACTTTCAGGCTCTGTATGAACAATTAAAGCATCCATAGATGAAAAAAAGGCATTCCTAATAAAAATAGTTACAACGAGTACATAGGGTGTCAAATTATTAGTCAGAACCCTTACACATAGAAAACACACAGAAAAACTAGCATCTATAACACCGTAGGTGGCCAGAAGGTAGACCTACAACTGCTAGATGACTATAACAGCCAGTTACCCCAGCTGAGCGTACTGTAAGTTGGAGTTCTACAACAGTTGGATGGTTACATCTGTATACATGGATTCATTCCTAATATGAATATGAAGAAACACTGATGGTTTACACCTTAAAACATCTGTCTGCAATGTTAAGGAATTAGATAGGAAGGACAATTAAATATCTTCTTACATATTTATAGGAATCATTAGCAGCCACATATTAACTAATGAAAAGCATGCACAAAGGTAGTTAGAAAAGGAGAAACCGTATTTTCATTTATAGATTATCGGGGACATTTTTTTCTATATTTCATTTGCAAAAAAGGCCATCAATCCTGACTAGAAAGTTTCCCAATGGCACTTATTCAACCAAAAATTGTATTTTATGACCAAGGAGAGGGTGACACATCAATAATAAATGGCATCCTGGCTACAACACTCACGTACACAATACAACACCTTAGATTGGATCATATGTATCATATGTGGGCAAGTATTTATCAAACCCGCAGTCTCTACCCATCTGCCTCATTCCAATTTTGGTTGAGCTATGCCTTACAGAATCATCATTTTATTAAGAACAATAGCAGCCTCCCTTTGGAAGTACTATGGCAAAAAAACAAAACAACTTTCACCATCAGAAACAACCTGAACCAAACATCATAGTACTGATGCTCTATTTCTGAAAAAAAAGACAATGATTACAGAGATATGAGGAGGTCCATACCGGTCACAGAAATACTTACCGGGTTATTCACTAAACTAAGAATGCCTAGTGAATTTAAAGAGAATTTCAAATTGAAGGCTAGAGTAGGTGAACTGGGAGTTTAGCTGACTTAGATAATGCTTCCAGTGCTGCTATTTTGGCCTTGAATTTAAAATTCACTTTCAATTCTCACCTTAGTGAATAAACCTGTTAGCGTGTGAAAAGATAAGAGAAGTGTGTGGTAAACTCAATGCTGGGCCGCAGAGCTGAACCCGATAGTGAGTGGTGTATAGTGTACAGAGAGCGTGTTGGGATGGAAGATCCTTAAAACAATGGAGGAGTGTTGGGCGGTGGGTGGAGAGATGAAATGGAGGAAGAGTTAAGAGGAGAAGTTGGTTCTGAAGTGAAAAGGTCTGGGGATTTTAGTACTGGCTAGGGGGACAGCACAAATCAGGGAAGGTGTTAACAGCTGATACAAAACTAAGGCTATGCAACAATTAAACAATTGCTTAGGTGAGGATGCTTTGGTGCTTAGATGAAGGGGTGCAATGGATACTAATAAGGAGGGATGAGTAGTAAATTCTGTCATGAAATGACATAGATTGGAGTTAAAATAATGGGAGCCATAGGTAACATTGAGAAAGGGAAAATGTATCCTGGACAACTGTTCTATGGGACGACAATTTTTAAACTAGTAGCTTGCAACTACTTTTTCTTTCACTATGGCCTTAACTCCCCACTGGAGTCATTATTGCAATTATAACTGACCCAATCTCCACCCTTTCACTTTACTTTAAAGAGCAAGACTCTACATCTGACTAAAATTACCTCTAATTGCCACCTGGTCAACTGAAAAACTCCTTAATTGTTGACATGCTACCAACCTTGAAGTGCTCCTGCTTCCTTTTGCAGGAGCACTTCAGATTGTAAATGCACAAACTATTTCACTAAATACTTTACATACAGTAACTACAAATGCTACATTAGAAGTACAGTGTGCTGTTATGAAATATATTATACTTTAGTTTACATCATGAGAACATATATATAATGAAACAAGTGATTCAGAGGAGGTGAGTTGATGAAGGCTAATATTTGCTTATTTTGAAAACTTTTGTTCTTTTCTAGTTAAGAATTATTGCATTTGCTTTATATGTTAACATGTCGGTTGTGTTTATAAAGTATTTTCTCTAGGACACGATTTCCCA